TCAACACCCATTCATGATAAAACCCTGCAATAAATTGGAATAGATGGTCTATGTCTCAAATTAATAAAGGCTATCTATGAAAAACCAACAGCCAACATCATATTAAATGGCCAAAAACTAATAACCTTCATGCTAAAATCAGGAACAAGACAAAGATGCCCACTATCACCACTCCTCTTCGATATAGTTCTGGAAACATTAGACACAGCAACAAGACAAGAGAAAGAAATTAATACAATAAAGATAGAAAACAAAGAAGTTAAACTTTCGTTATTTGCTGATGATATGATACTCCATATTGAAGACCCAAAAAACTCCACCAAAAGACTTCTTGACTTAATTGACACTTTTAGCAGAGTAGCTGGATACAAGGTCTACACCCAAAAATCAACAGCCTTCTTGTACACAAATAACCGAATCACTGGGAAAGAAATTAGGGAAACAAATCCCTTCAAAATAGCACCCAAAAAAATGAAGTATCTGGGAATCAATCTAACAAAAGAAGCAAAAGATCTCTACACTGAAAACTACAGCACTCTGAAAAAAGAGATTGAAGAGGATACAAGAAAATGGAAAGATATCCCCTGCTCTTGGGTAGGAAGAATCAACGTAGTGAAAATGGCCATACTACCAAAATTGCTATACAGATTCAGTGAAATGCCAATTGAAATCCCAACACTATATTTCACAGAACTAGAAAGAAGACTCCAAAAATTCATTTGGAACCATAAGAGACCTAGAATAGCAAAAGCCATCCTAGGCAACAGACACGTGGCAGTGGGTATAACAATTCCCAATTTGAAACTATACTACAAAGCCACCATGATAAAAACAGCAAGGTACTGGCAGAGAAACAGACCTGAGGATCAGTGGAACAGACTGGAAGACACAAAAACAAACCCAGATGTACTAGTACCTCGTCTTTGACAAAGGAGCTGACTGTCCCTGCTGGAGGAAAGATAGCCTCTTTAATAAATGGTGTTGGAAAAACAGGATCTCAACCTGCCAAAGATTAAAACTAGATCCTTATCTGTCACCATGCACTAAATTAAAATCCAAGTGGATTAAAGATCTAAATATTAAAAGAGAAACACTAAACTTGCTGGAAGATAAGTTAGGCAGAACTCTTGAAGACATTGACATAGGAAAAGACTTTATGAACAAATCCTCAGTAGCATGGGAACTAGCAGAAAGAATCAACAACTGTGATCTCATCTTATTAAAAAGCTTCTGCACTGCAAAAGAAACCATCAACAGAAGTAAGAGACAACCTACAATGTCGGAAAAACTTTTTTCCAGCTGCTCCTCAAAGGACTATTATCTAAACTATAGAAAGAGCTCAAAACAACCAGCCCCCCAAATATAAAGACCCAATTCAAAAATGGGCATCTCAAATGAACCTACATTTCTCAGACAAAGAAATAAAAGCATCAAGTAAATGTATGAAAAAGTGCTCCACATCACCGGTCATTCAAGAGATGCAGATGAAAACAACACTGAGATTTCACCTCACCCCACAAAGAATGGCTGCTATCAAGAAATCACACAATAACAAGTGTTGGTGGGGTTGTGGGGAGAAAGGAACCCTTCTCCATTGTTGGTGGGTGTGAAGATTGGTGCAACCACTATGGAAGTCAATATGGAGATACCCCAAAGAACTAGGATTAGAGGTTCCATTTGACCCAGCCATCCCTCTGTTGGGTATCTTTCCAACAGAATTAAAAGAATCATATCACAGTGATATATGTGCACCCATGTTAATAGTGGCACAGTTTGTAATAGCTAAATCTTGGAAACAGCCCATCTGCCCATCAGTTGGAAACTGGATAAAGAAGATGTAGTTTTTCTATAAAATGGAATACTACTCAGCCATAAAGAATGAGAAAGTAGATTCATTCATAGGTAAATGGGTACATTTTGAGGATATACTCCTAAGTGAAATAAATTAATCACACATATGCAAATACTGAATAGTTTCTCTGGTGTGAAAAACTAAAATAGTACTCAAGATCCTAATGGGACAATTAGCACAGTGAAATAGGAAGAAAAGGACCAAAGGTCTAGGGACAGTGAGAAGGATAAGGTAAGGGGAACAAGGGAAAAGGAAAAAAATATGAGAAAATGCAAAAATGAAAAAAATGCAAAAAAGTGTTTGAAGGTGGGGAGGGGAGGAGGGGGTGAAGGGAGGGTGGGGACAAGGGGCAAAAATGAGAACCAAGACCTGGCATGTAAAGGTACAA